CCCCTCCCCCTTCCCTTTTTCCCATCTCCACTCTTCTTTTCTCCCTATGTGTGACCAGACTCAGACGCAGTTGGAGCATGCCCGAATACGGGAGCTCGAGCAGAGCCTGCTGTTTGAGAAGGCACAGGCTGAGAAACTCCTCAGAGAATTAGAGGACACCAGGGTAATCGACCCCCACTTGCCCTGCCTGCAGAACAACGCGCTTGCCCCCTGCGTTGATGCTCATGATGCCTTGCTTTGGGTTTCTTTTTTTTTTGGTTCGTGGGTTTGGTTGGGTTTGGCTTGAATTTAGGCTTCCCTGATTATTTTTTTTCTTTGCTCTTTCTCCTGGAAATGGTAGTACAATATAATTTCTAGCTTTGCTTCTTGTGTGGGGACTTGTTTCTCAGATTGAGTTTGCTTCTCTGCCCCATGCCACCATTTGACACGAGCTCTTCACAATTCATCTTTCAATTAACATGCCCAAATAATATCTGCACCCTGCACAATTCATTCTGCCTTGAGGCTCCCCCAGGCTGTGGTAGAAAATAACATTGCAATCAGCATTCCCTTTGTCCTCCCTCCAGCTGTGGGAGCTGCCACCTGAAGTGGAAGATACTGGTGAGTGCAGGTGGACCAGCTCTGATCCTTGGCCATGCCTGCAGCAGGGCAGGCTGCCTGGATGGGGGATGCACCTGATCCCAAAAGCAGCCAGATGTGGAAAGGGCTTTTTCATGCTGGTGTGGTGTGGGAAGTGGCAAGCTTGCCTACAGTGGGCTTGCTCCTGGCCAATGGGTTTGTTAGAGCTCTGGAAAGCACACACGTGAGGTTCTCCAAAGGGGCTGAATGGTTTGAATGCCCCTGTGCCCATCTAAAATAAAAACTGCCCAGCCTCCTGGGCTGAGGCTTAGTGGCGAAAATGGCAATGGAGTTGAACTGGAGTTGATCGCTTGTGAGTTTGCACTGCAAGATCTGCTTGGGTTCCTTGTTTCTTCTGCCTTTTTCTAGTATCTCATCTAGTCAAACCTCTTCTCCGTCCATAGCTGCAGCACCCTGAACTCCCTGTGGCTGGCAGGTAGTTCAGCCCTGTTCGGTTACACTCGGATCGTAAGGCATTGATCCATAGCCCTTATGCTCTATGTTAACCATGCCCAGATTTATTGTCTTGCATCCTCTAGCCTTCTAAGTTATTTTTACTTTGCTAATGAACTCTAACAAGTACTCATGTGTAAAAATCCCTTTTCCTTTTTACACCAGGGTAAACAAATTACGATGCAGAAGAGGTCTGCAGGCTGAGGATTGCTGAGCAATAAAGGAAACATGATATGCTTAATGCTGGTTTCAATGCTTGTGATACTCCTGCATGTGCAGTCACATTTCCTCTGTGCATCATCTGGCAAGATGCCTCGTCTGGAAATATAATGCCCTGTCAGGACATTATTTTTCATAAACCGCTGTTGCTCTCTAGTGAATTTCAAGGGTTGTTTCCAAGATGTGTGTTTCTCTGTGGAAAACGAGAGGTTCATATTAGAAAAAACGAATTGCAATTGGCATGATGACATAACTGTTAGTGTTCTCGGTGGTAGTTACCCTGGTGCAAAACTACTCAAACCAGAGGGTGCTGGGTATTCTTCTGTTGTTTATTTGAACTGTGACTAATGTACTTTGGATTTACTTCCACTGGAGCACACTTAATCAAAGGAAGGATGTAGCGATGGGAGGTGGGGGCTGACTTTGTCTTCTCTGTCATGTTGCAGTTAACCACGGTAGCAGAGAAGTCCCGAATCCTGCAGCTGGAGGAGGAGCTGAGCCTCAGGCGCAGTGAGGTGGATGAACTTCGGCAGTGCCTCAGGAGCTCTCACCAAGCAGAGACCCCTGAGCACAACCTTGGCTTGCAGTCAGAGGCTCTTCGTCTACGAGACCAATTGCTGTCTGCCAACAAGGAGCATCAGAAGGAGAGCAGCCAGCTCAAGGAGAGATACGAGAAGACATTAAAGAAGTACCAGCAGGAGATGGAGAAGCTGAAAGCTGTCAATGAGAAGTATTCCCAAGAAATTGTTGACCTAAAGCATAAAGTTCAGCAAGCCACTAATGAGAACATGGGGCTTATGGACAACTGGAAGTCCAAGTTGGACACGTTAGCTTCTGACCACCAGAAGTCTCTGGAGGACCTCAAAGCCACGCTGAACACTGGCCCCGACAGCCAGCACAAGGAGATCGTGGAGCTGAAGGCAGTGGTGGAGAGTATAAAGATGGAGCACCAGCTTGAGCTGGAGAACCTGAAAGCAAAGCATGACATTGAGACGGCTGTTCATATAAAGGAGAAAGAGAGCCTCAAACTCAAGTTGCAGGAGGCTGTGGATGAAGTGGAAAAAAGCAACAGCAACTGGAAAATGCAACTGGAAACCAAAAGCAATCAGCACCTTCTTGAGCTCCAAGATGTGAAGGACAAATGTCGAGATGCTGAGCTGAGGGTGCATGAACTGGAGAAACTTCATGGTGAATATAAAGATCAGACGCAAGCGATAGCTTTCTTGAAAGAACAGATTTCTTTGGCGGAGAAGAAGATGTTGGACTATGAAACAATGCAGAAAACAGAAGCCCAGAGCAAACAGGAGATCCACAGATTGCAGGAAAAAGTGCTTGTCTTAGAGAACAAGCTGCAGTCCACGGAGGCCCTGCATCCTTCTCAGCATGCAAATGTATGACTTCTGGGTCATTCTGCTTGTTTATCGCTGTTAGTAACCCTTCCTAGGGGCAGCCATCCGCTGCTGCCTTGTGCAACTTTCTATGGCTTCTATGCCTTGGAGTATCTGATGTTGTTACCTTCCACTGATGGTGCTTTTTCTGCACTGCTTCTCCATGCAGGAGGTGTCTTCCTACTCTTGAAAGCCAGTACAGTGACACAATTAAAAATAGGAATTGAGTGAAGCAAGTGGGCTACATCTGGGCTCAAAGGCACACGAGTGCTCTGGCAGCAGAAGAGGACTGTGGTAGTTTGTCGGGGTGGGCTCTCATCCTGAGCAAGCAGCATTCTTAGCTGAAAAAGCATCATTTCCACAATATAGCTGTTATCCTCAAACGAGCTGCAGCAGCCTTAGTGAGTTATTGAGCAAGACCTGTTAGGGGTAGGGGGAAGAAGAGGCATTGCCCATGCTGAGGTGGAGCACGTTGCTTGCTCAGCACATGCAGCATGGTTTGGGAGCCTTGGTTAGGGGGCTGAGCTGGTGGCATTGGGGGGGAGGTGCGTGGCAGAAGTGGTGGTGAGGCTTCACAGCATGTATGAGACAGGGAAATGCTGCCTCTGAGGTTTGTAATGGAAGAGCTGCTAGCAAGGGCCAGGATGGTACCAGGCTGGGGAAATAAAATGCCTGATTGCATACAAGTCCAGAGCCTCCCAGGGAAGTTTAGTGTAAGACCAGTAATAATATGAAGAAACCAATTTTCTGTGGCCTTTGTGTCTTTTTAAGTTGTCCTCATCTCTTTTCTTTTTTTACTGTTTGTCACAGGATGCCATCCTGTCTTTGTGTGTGGCACAGACATGTGGCTGGTTTTGCCATAGAGTGAGGGGGGCAGATTGCTGTTCATGTCTCTAGGCTGGACCACTGTTCATGTTTTGGATTTTGCATGAAAAATGAGCAAAATCCAACCTGCTGCTTGTCCACAAAATGTGCACGTTTTAAGAATACTCATTTGCAGTCTAGCACTGGCAGCGTAGTCACCGTTCCAGCCTGTGGTGCCAGTGAAAAGAACACGATGCCTGTGTTTAATTTGCCAACATGAATGGCCTCATTGCAATTGGTTGCACCTCTAGGCAGCAGAGTCAAGTGCATGATTTACTGTTGGCCAAGTCAGAGCTTTGTGCCTGCGCAAAGGCATGCTCAACTGGACAGGAGATGCGAAAGCCTGAGGAATGTACAGCATTAATGGTGCTTTAAGGTTTGCTCAACATCTTTCATCTAGTAAAGACAGTCATGAAGAATAAGTACAGCCAGGGCCCTGGGAAAAGTGAGTTGTTATTACAACATGTCACATGTTTATAGCTGATATTCAAACAGGAATGGATGTCATGGAAGCTGGAGGCTTGTTCCAGAGCCCTTTAAATAAGTGAGGACTCTGGGTAACATTGATATTGGATTAGAACCAGGGAGTCTTGAAATAATTACTTTAACTATGTGTTGATTAAAATCAGGAAAATGTGAGAAGAAATGCATGGGTTAAAGTCTGAGTGTCATAGGGCAAATTCTGTTTTTAAATGTCTTGGATAATTAAATTTTGACTGCAGTATTGACTATCCAAATATTTTAAACAAATGTGTCTTGTCACCATCAACATGCTGTCTTCCTAGGCCTTCAAGTGAGAGCTGCAACTGTGCTTCCAAAGAGCAGTCAGTACTTTTTCCACACCAGAAGTAACTCGGGCAGTGTGTATTCCCCCTTTGGGTGTGCTGCAGCTTCTGTTCAAGAAGTGTCCTGCAGCCCACCCAAGCTCTTGGGGCTGACCTTGGGGCTTTCAGCAGTGGTGGCCACAGCAGCTGCTGGATCCGGGGTGTGTGCTGAGGTACTGCCGAAGGATGCTGGATGTGAAGAGGCTTGAAGGGCTAAACTGTGGCTTCTGCAGTGGAAGGCTTGGCTGTGAGCTCTGTGGTCTCTGGCTTTACACCACCTGTTGCAGTATAGATAAGAGGAGGGGAAAAAGGTGGAATCCTTTACATGGAAAAGCATTTGCTGTTTGTTATTTTTACTAATGTCTTCATTCTCATAATTATTACTTTATCAACTTCTTATTACTGTTTTCATAACTTCGGGCACAGTTAGATTCTTCAGCAGCTGAGAAACTTGTCTGACAGGTCTCAAGTTGAATGCTGAAGAGCGTTTGTACCTGAATATTTGCTGTGGTTAACCACGGGAGACTGGTCGGAAGGAGAGCAGCTCTGTGGTTGCTCTGCACAAACTCTGGGGGTGTGAAAGCTGGAACCAAAGCTTGTGGGGAAGGCCTGATCTCTTAACCTTCCCAAGTGAATCTCGTTGTGCTCAGCTTGCCTGTTGTGTGTAGGCACTCAGGTGGTACTGGTTAACCTTTTGTGGTGCCCAGCTGTAGGAGTGACTCCTCAAAAGCCTTTGTTTCCCTTAAGCAGGATGTAGAACCTCATAACTTGGGTACTGGATACACTTCTGCTTTGGATGAGGCTTTGTGGTTGGTACCTTTGCGTTGAATTTGTGGGTAAAGGCTATCTTATCTCATATTTCACATTTTTTTCAGATGATTGAAACTAATGATATTTCAGAAGAAAAGATAAAGATGAAGCAGACTATGGAAGGTATGACATTTTTTTGGTTTGTCTTGGAATACCCTGTTCCAGTGACCTTTTATTCCTCTTTTTCCTCTTGCAGGGGTGGCTGTCTGGATTAGGCTTACAAATCCATTTCATCTCTGATTTTGCTGGATGGTATTTGTTGTCTAGCTTTTTTTTTTTCCCTCTAATCTGGCTGAGCATATGCAGGGGTGGATGTTTTTACTAGTTACACACTCACCATGCAGATGGTGCAGACTGGGGACAGATCTGGGGAAATGGGTGCACTTCCATCCCTTCACTGATACTTTTTTTTTAGAGCAGGTAAAATCCAGACATAAAACATAACTTGTTCATAGGAGAGGGCTGCTAATAGTACATATTAATGTGACTAGCTTCAAATAATGGGAGTTCACTTTTTTAAGCTTACTATAAATCAAATCCATCCTTCTAACAAAACATAGTATTTATGCACCCCACCTGCAGTTTTGTGTCCAGCTCTGGGGCCCTCAGTATAGGAAGGATATTGACTGGTTGGAGCGAGTCCAGAGGAGGCCATGGAGATGCTCCAAGGGCTGGAACCCCTCTGCTATGGGGACAGGCTGGGAGAGTTGGGGGTGTCCAGCCTGGAGAAGGGAAGGCTCCAGGGAGATCTTCCAGTACCTGAAGGAGCTGATAAGAAAGCTGGGGGGAACTTTTTACAAGGACAGGGAGTGACAGAACACGGGTTAACAAGTTTAAATTGAAAGTGGGGAGATTTAGATTAGGTATCAAGAAAAAATTCTTCCCGGCGAGGGTGGGGAAGCACTGGCACAGGTTGCCCAGAGAAGCTGTGGATGCCCCATCGCTGGAAGTGTTCAAGGCCAGGCTGGATGAGGCTTGGAGCAATCTGGGTTGGGGCTAGATGGTCTTTAAGGTCCCTTCCAACCCAAACCGTACTATGAAGTTCTAAAACTTGTATAAAGTGGCTTTGAAAATGATTTACACTCTGCATAAGCTGTAACCCCTAGTCTGAGCAGCAGCAGACCTGGTAAGATCAGAGTTGGATGGCCCAGATAGTCTCAGTTTGGAGCAATGTCCTACCACATCTGGTGAGTGGAATGTGCTTTTGGGTGTCTGTGAAGGGTTCGGGGCTGTTCGAAGGCAAGTAAGGTGCCAGTTCATGTCTTCCCTTGTTTGCTCTTAAGAGGCTCATTTCTTCATTCCTCTTCAGGGACAGTTTCTTTAGCAGAAAATGTTATCTGTGTAGGTCACAAAGGTGACCTCTGCACAACTAACTTGTCGCCTCTCTTTTCAAATGGCATTTGGCTTATGATGGCATAGCTTTTTCTCTATTATACATCTCTAAGGACTCTGTTCTCTGCAAAGCCCTTGTTATAATCCTGCTGAGGATATAGCAATCTAAACAGAGGTTAGATTTTGAGGTACCCAGCAAAACTGGGGACTTTTGCTTTGAACTTCACTTAGTAGAAACTTTAGTTTGAGTGTCTCTCCAGCTGTTTGCGGATTCAGACAGGTGTTTTGTCATCTTTCCATCTGCCCTCACTGCTAGCTAGGCTTTGTCCATCAGCCTCATCCCTGTGTTTGCAGGTACAGGATTAAGTGTATGTTACATCAAAGTTTACACTGATCAGCAGGTAATTTCTGCCTAGGGAGGGTAGAAGGCAAATTGGTCCAGCAGCTACTGCTCTTAAAATGGCCACTCAGTCCATGTGCATGTTGTTTCCACACTGAATAAGCCATATATAGGATGTACTAAAAATAAAAAGTTCATTCTTGAACTACAGAAGTATCATAATTCAGATCTATGCTCTGAGTGTGGAAACGTATCAGTTCCAGAAACCATGTCTTTTTAAACTATCTGTCCTCCAGTGTAGGAGGTAACATAAAGAAATGTGCTGAAAGCTCCTGAATGGCAGTGAGATGCAGTGAGAAACACCCGCTGCTGTTTTGTTAGTGGAGGGTACCACCACCTCGCCTGTTGCACCACAACCCGTACACTTGATAACCTTCACTATTTGCACAAAGCATTTTCCACGCTTCTAATCTGTGTCTTTTCATACTCGCACAGACCTCCAAGACAAGCTGAGTAAAAGAGACAAAGAGGTGTCATCGCTGGTGTCCCAGACTGAAACTCTAAGGGCCCAAGTAAGTGGTAAGTTTCCCTAATCCGATGCTGGTGGGAACTAGGTGTTTCCCTGCTCATCCTCTGTACTGGTGTTAAACATGGGGCAGGTATAGAACGTGATGGTGGCTGTCTGTTAGTCGATACTCGTGGTAAAAATTTGTTCAGGACTCCTGACCTCTCTTGAGAAGGTGAATATAAACTCTGCAGAAGATAGTTGTATCCTGTGAGAAGGGGGTTTTGGGCACATTGAATGTCAAAAGCTGAAAGATGCAGAAACAAATGGAGCCGGGCTTGTTGTGTCTGAGATCTCCCTTTAAATAGGGCTAGATCCAGAGCTAATCAGACCTGTGCTGTCGGGAGTGGGAATACACTCTGTCCAACCACCTGAATGGAAGAGGCAGAGAGGTGCAGGTTGGTCTCTTCTCCCAAGTGACAAATCGGGACAAGAGGAAATGGCCTCAAGTTGTGCCAGGGGAGGTTTAGATTGGGTATTGGGGAAGATTTCTTCACTGGAGGGGTTGTCAGACACTAAGATGGGCTGCCCAGGCAGATGGTAGAGTCACCATCCTGGGAGGTATTTGTAACATGTAGATGTGGTGCTTAGGAAAATGGTTTAGTAGTGGATTTGGTCATGTTAGGTTGATGGTTGGAGTTTGATCTTACGATCTTTTATCTTGGAAAAGACCTTTATGAATTGGGAAAAGGCAAAAAGCAGGA